AGTTTCTCTGCCCGTGGTTGTGTACTCTGCGAGGTGCTGCAGCGGTCTCTCTCTCTCGTGTCTGTGTTCCTGAGTCTTTGTGCTGTGACTCTGAAGCTGTGCCTCTGTTTACTGTAAGCACTGAGACAGTGCCTACTTTCAGCTGTAAACTTTGATACTTATCGGAGCTGGGATGGTCTGCTTTATCCCAGTGGCTAGGTCAGGGAAGGTCAGTTTCAACCTGAGCCTTGCTCCTTTCCTCACTTACTCGAGCTGGTTGCAGTGCAGTGCTCCTGAACTGTGTTGAAATAGCTGGCATTCGACAAAATATGCAAGGATAAATTAAAGATTTGCTAAAAATTAATAAAGGAAGAAATAATAAAAGTGCAAAAGAAAGCTGCTTCAAAATACCTCAACAGATAGTAAAAGTTTATTCGATATTTAAATCATAAAAGAGTTAACTAAGTAAGTGTTGGTCCGATAGAAAATGAGTTGGAATTAAAATTAGAATTAGGTTTAGATTTTACTGTCATGTGTGCTGAAGTACGGGAATACATGAGTACAGTGAGAAGTGTTCAAAGTCACTGTTCTCCTCATTAAAAACCAGAACTTTTAAAAACACAGCAGGAATAAAAGAAAGCCAAAAGGTAAGAAAAGCATCCCAAATTTTAAAGTCAACATTTAATCTTCAAAAAAGGAGTTGGGAAGCACCGAAGCAAGCACCTGGGCCTAGTCACAGGATGCAGTCCCAGTCAGCCTGTGAGTCTCACATCGATCTCCAGGAGGAGCCATATCTACTGCTATCAATGTTTCTCCTCATCTCCGTTTTAAAAGGTCTTCCCTTTACTCTAAGGCTGTCCCCTCAGGTCCTATTCTGTCCTACAAATGGAACCATCTTCCCAACATCCATTCTGTCTTGGCCGTTCAGTATTCTGTAAGTTTCCATTCGATCCCAACCCCATCCTTCTAAACTCAGCACCATGTCCAATCCTCCCTCTCATCCCATTGTAGCAGCACCTCAAATTCCACCTCGGGAGCATACAGCCCGATGGCCTAAATGTGGATTTTACCAGTTTTAAAATCTCCCGAACCCCCGGCCTCATCACGTGTCCAACCCTCCCTCTCATCCCCTCCTCCTTGACCTGGTACAACCTGTCCATCTTCTCTCCCACCTATCTGCTCCTCCTACCTCACTGAACAATCCCCACCACTCCCTACCTGCACTCACCCATCATCATCCCACCTTCCTTCCCCAGCCCCACCCCTTCTCCCTCTATTTATTTCCCAGCTCTCTTCCCCCTCCCCCTTTTCTGAAGAAGGGTCCAGACCCGAAACGTCAGCCTTCCTGCTCCTCTGATGCTGCTTGGCCTGCTGTGTTCATCCAGCTCCACACCTTGTTACCTTACAGGGAGACATGGGAGGGAGGGCCTGGGAAGGACACAGCAGTGTTTAAGAAGAGGATGAAAGGCTGGATCGGATGCCTTTCGAATGGCTCTCCTGGTAAGTGGGGGCCCCCAGGATCATCCACTTTGGCCACATTCTGTGAGAGCAATGAGTTGTAACCCAGAATGATGCGGGTTTGCCCAAGGCAGCCAGCAGCCATTGCAATGTTAATTAAACCGAGTGAGTCAATCTCCCTACTCACGCTTCCACCCTTCCTCACGGAGAACAAACCATTGACCTTCCCCCTGTGCCTTTCAAAACCGATTTAATATGAACAAGGCCAGCCTGGGGGCTTCTCGATCAGTGCCTGGTGGTGCTGGAGAGTAGACCAGGAATGCAGAGTGCATTATCATTCAAAGCAAAGTGACTGGAGTATTAGACCCAGCACCTGGGAAATGTCTGAGGTCAATAATACAGACATATTTAAAGGGGAATAGATAAACACATGAGGGAAAGGATTCGGGAGTAATGTCCGTGGCTGAGGTGGAGAGGGTTGGGAAGTGCTACATAGGATACATAGAATCATACAGCACAGAAGAGACCTTTCAGCCCATTGAATCGGTACCACCAAAAGCCACTCTAAATCTATACAAGGCACATTTTCCCTCAGTACGGCCAAAGCCTTGAACGTTATGACATTTCAAGTGCTCACCCACATACATTTAAAGGTTAGAAACCGAAAGAACTGCTGTAAATCAGGAACAAAAACAGAAGTTGATGGAAAAGTTCAGTAGGTCTGGCAGCATCTGTGAAGAGAAAATCAGAGTTAACGTTTCAGGTTCCTCAGTGCTGAGGAAGGGTCAACCAAAAACGTTAACTTCTGTTTTTATACTTTTAAAAATTGTGAGTCTTCCCGTTCCAGATAGTGCATTCCAGACTCCCATCCCCTCTTTGCCTCAAGACCCCTCTAAACCTCCTGCCTTTCATCTTCAAATAATGCCCCTGGTCACTGACCCTTCAATTAAGGAGAACAGCAGCTTTGTGTCCACATGGCCCTTGTAATGTTACACTCCTCTAAACCTACCCCCCCACCTCCTCCACCCCCATCCTTCCCTGCTCCAAAGTAAACGACCTGAGCTCTTATGGGAGCTATGGCGCGGTGACTCTGACATGTCCCAGCGACAGAGAGTGCCCTGTTTCTGGGCCGCACTTGAAATGGAAACTGGTGTTACATGAATGATCCGGTCCTTTCTGAGTCGTTTACGTCAGAACTGGAGGAGACCATTCAACCCCTCAAGCCTATCCCACCATTCAGTAAGATCGCAGCTGATCTGAGTCTTGGCTTCATATGCAGGTATTTTTAAAAATTATTCCATCATGGAACGTGGACTTTGTGGGCTAGGCCAGCATCCGTTGCCCATCCCTATTTGCGCTTGAACTGAGTGGCTTGCTGGGTTATTCCGGAGGGCAGTTAAGAGTCGACCCCATTATGGGACTGGAGTCACATGTAGGCCAGACATGAATGGCAGATTTCCTTCCCTAATGGACATTAGCAAACTGGATGAACTGAATTGGCATCTACTTCTGGGGAGAAAGCTTTACGTTTCCATCATCATCAGGTGCAAAAAATATTTGCTAACGTGTCTCAGAAGTGATGTGAGATAACAAGGTGTAGAGCTGGATGAACACAGCAGGCCAGGCAGCATCAGAGGAGCAGGAAAGCTGACGTTTCGGGTCTGGACCCTTCTTCAGAAATGGGTGGCTCTGATTGGAAGATTGTGACCCTTGTCTTATAGACATCACTTCCTGGTACAATCAGTTTCTCCTGAACAATTTCCTCCAGGATCCGAAACCTTTCAATCAGATCACCCCTCTACATTATCTGAATCTAATCCCACATGAACACATTGACTCTTAATTGACCCCTTGGAAGATATTCAGTTTTACAAAACCTAATTTGTGAAGAAGGTGGACCATTCAGTTGGTCTAGCCAATGGCAGCCTCACCTAGAGAATGGATATTCAGCTGCACTTGAGGGGAAATTTGGTCCTACCAATGAAATCCTGGTGAAGTGAGCAGCGATGTCATTCAGCCTCCAGCCTCCATCCAGAAGCAGAGGTGGGAAATGTCAAGGGGAACCTCTTTATAGGGCCACCACTGTCAGGTACTAGCCTGTGTTGAGACCTGCTCATCTTTCAGAACTCGATGGGCTATGTTTCCAGATCATTCCATTCGTCATTGTCTGGAAGTAGCGATGATATGGTTAAAAGGAGACCAATGGTCAGAATTTCCACTCACCTTGCGATGATCCAAAATGACAAACTTTTCTGACAATGTTTAATAGACCAGGTTAAAAGTACATTTTGAGAAGTTAACTAGCTTTAAAAAATTCCCTCCAGTTCAAATACCAGTCAAATTGTAATCATTGCCAAAGAATACTCCAGAAAAATGTCAGGATTAGGAGCAGGATTAGAGCATGGAGCTTCTCAACTTTGCATTTTGATACAATTTTTTAATATTCTTCAATGGGCTGTGGATATCCCTGGGCTAGACCAGCATTGATCAGGGATCTGTAATTGATGCTAAAGTCCATTATTAAGAAAGAAATAACTGGATGTTTAGATAAACTTAACACAATTAAACAGAGTCAACCTGTTTTCTGAAAGGGAAATCATGTGTGACAAATTTGCTTCGAGGATATAACAAGCAGAGTTGATAAAGGGAAAACTGTACATGGAGTGCATTTAGATTTCTAAACCATTCAGTGGGGTGCCAGTTTTAAGGTTATTGCACAGGAGAGGAGCTTATGGTATTGAGTGATACTCTTTTAACATGGATTGAGTATTGATTTTTTTAATAGAATTCCTAGAGTGTGGAAACAGGCCATTCTGCCTAAGAAGTACACACTGATCCTCTGAAGAGCATCCCACTCAGAACCATCCCCCTACCCTATCCCTGTAACCTTGCTAATGAACCCAACCCACACATCCCTGAACACTGTGGGTAATTTAGTATGGTCAATACACCTAACCTGCCCATCTTTGGTCTGTGGGAGGAAACCGGAAGAAACTCACATAGACACAAGGAGAACGTGCAAACTCCACACAGACAGTTGCCCGAGAGTGGAATCAAACCCAGGTCCCTGGCGCTGTGAGGCAGCAGTGCTAACCACTGAGCCACAAACATCAGTCACAGAGTCTCAGTAATAAGGGTCACAGTGTGGTGTAACCAGATTTGCTGATAATATAATAATAGTTGGTAGGGTATGTTATAATGAGGACATAAGGCACCTGTAAGGGGAGAAAGATGGATCGAGTGAGTAAGCAACAATCGTTTTTTAAAATTCACTCAAGGGATAAAGGTATTGCTGGATAGGCCAACATTTATTGCCCATCCCTATTTGCCCAGAGGGCAGTTAAGAATCAATCCCACTGCTAAGGATCTGGAGTTGCATATAGGCCAGACCAGGTAAGAATGGCAGCTTCCTTCCCTAAAGGGCATTAATAAACCAGATGGGATTTCCCTGACAATTAACAATGGGTTTATTATCATCATTAGACTCTTAATTGCAGATTTTTTAAAAAGTGAATTCAAATTCCACCATGGCAGGATTTGAGCCCAGGACATCAGTGGGGTCTCTGTGTTAACAGCCTAGCAACAATACCACTAGGCCATCATCTCCCCATTGTAGATTGAATTTATCGTAGGAAAGTGTAAGGTCATGCACTTTGGTAGGAAGAATCAAAAGTAAAAGTTACTATTTAAACAGAGAGATTGCAGCATGGAGGGAGATAGCTGATCTTGTGCATGAAACACAAAAAGTTAGCATGGAGTTGCAGCAAGTAATTCAGAAGGCGAATGGAGTTTTGGCTTTCACTGCTCGAGAGTTGAAGTTTAAAAATAGCAAAGCCCTGTTAAAATTGAACAGGGTGTTGTACCGGGGTACTGTGTACGGGCTTGGTCCCTGTACTTTACAAAAATGGGTGGCTATTCAAACAATATTCACTGGCTGATTCCTGGAAGGAAGGGTTTGACTTAACAAGAACAGGTTAGGATTTCATTCATCAGAGTTTAGAAGAATGAGGGGTAATCTTATAGAAACATACACAATTCTGAGGGGGCTTGATGGGGTAGTTGTTGGGAAGATATTTGGGGACTGGTGGGGAATCCCAGACTTTGGGACGTTGTTACAGAATAACGGGACATTCACTTGAAACTGAGATGCCAAGGAATTTCTTCTTTCGGAGAGTAAAGAATGTCTGGAATTCCATGCTCCAGAGAGTTGCGGAGCCTGGATCACTGAAAGTATTTAAAGAGGAGGGAGATAGTTAATTGAATTACCGAGGAGTTTAGACAAAAGAAGAGTTGAGGCCTGGAGCAGATCAGCCATGATCTTATTGAATGGTGTAGCAGGCTTGAAGGGCCGAATAGCCCACTCATACTCCTTTTCTTTTATGTTCTTAATGCCCATCCCCAAGAGAAGGTGGTGGTGAGCTGCCTTCTAGAACCACTGTAGTCCATGTGCTGTGGGTTGACCCACAATGCCCTTAGGGAAGGAATTCCAGGATTTTGACCCAGTGACAGTGAAGGAATGACGATATATTTCTAAGTCAGGAAGGTGAGTGGCTTGGAGGGGAACTTGAAGGTGGTGGTGTTCCCATGTATCTGCTGCCCTTGTCCTTCTAGATGGAAGTGGTCGTGGGTTTGGAAGGTGCTGTCTGAGGATCTTTGGTGAATTTCTGCAGTGCATCTTGTAGATAGTACACACTGCTGTTACTGAGCGTCGGTGGTGGGGGGAGTGGATGCTTGTGGATGTGGTGCCAATCAAGCGGCTGTTTTGTCCTGGATGGTGTCGAGCTTCTTGAGTGTTGTTGGGGCTGCCCCCATCCAGGCCAGTGGGGAGTATTCCATCACACTCCTGACTTGTGCCTTGTAGATGGTGGACAGGCTTTGGTGAGTCAGGAGGGGAGTTACTCATCACAGTATTCCTAGATTCTGACCTGCTCTTGTAGCCACTGTGTTTATGTGGTGAGTCCAGTTAAGTTTTTGGTCAATGATAACGCCCAGGATGTTGATAGTGGGGGATTAGTCTAATATTGCTGGAAGTTCTCTCGTTACATAGCAACTAGATAAACCTTTTGTTTCCCTGATATTTGACTGCAGTAGGAAGCACATTGCAGACTAGCAAGCTCCTGGGAGCTTATCCTGCCAGGCTGTCTCCTGTTGTGGCTCTGCAATGGAGGGGAAAGCATTCGTGGGGAGACTGTGAACGAGAATGATACCATCAAACGGCAGGACTCACCCCCATCGCTGCAAACACAATGGCAAAGTTGTCCTCACTGTAATCCACGACATCCTTAGCTTTCTTGACCAGACCAGCCTGCCTGCAGATCTGGGCAGCAATCTGCAATACAGTCACAGAAACACAGACAGAGAAATAAACCACAACAGACTGAGACCCTTTCTGAAACCAACTCTCCTTTGATTTTGGCCTACCCAGTGATTAATGGCAGAGGACACACCGACCATGGAGTATCCGCAGAAGAGGCACTGATCCTAGATATCAAGAAGGTTTATTGCATGATAAGTGCAACTGCATTCAGTTCGAGGTAATGACCAGGGAGCTGGTACAGATACAACTCGTCCCAAAAGCAAGAGTAAATTCCCTGTCTCCATCCACAGGCTGTGTCTCGTCAGTCGGTCAAAAGAGACGAGTCAATAAAACATGAGAATTAACCACTTCAGAACCATACATTATTCACATCCTCGTTGCAGACACCAGCCCCTCCCAGGTGAAAATCAGTCTTACTTATTTCTTCAGAGATAGTAGGAACTGCAGATGCTGGAGTTCTACACTTCTACACCTTGTTATCTCTTACTTATTTCTTACTTTTTTATTGAGGACTTGAATTTTGAAGGATTGTGAAAAATTGATTTACTTCAAGTTCTGAAGTGATATCTAGATTTATATCTGAGGAAGGTCAGAAATCACACGACACCAGGTTATAGTCCAACAGAGATAGTAGGAACTGCAGATGCTGGAGAATCTGAGATAACAAGGTGTAGAGCTGGATGAACACAGCAGGCCAAGCAGCATCATAGGAGCAGGAAGGCTGACGTTTTGGGCGTAGACCCTGCTTCAGAAAATTTTCTGCGCTACCAGCAGTGGTAGTGGAGTCAGATACTTTAGAGACTTTTAAGCGACTCTTGGATAGGCACATGGAGGATAGTAAAATGTAGGGTATGCAGGGCAGGTGATCTTAGTAGGATAATAGGTCAGCACAACATCATGGTCCGAAGGGCCTATACCGTGCTGTACTGTTCTATGTTCTCTGTTCTATGACATCTCAACTCCTGTACTCAATATTCTGACCAATGAAAGCAAGCATACCAAACACCTTCCTCACTATCCTGTCTACCTGCGACTCCACTTTCAAGGAGCTATGCACCTGCACCCTTCGGTCTCTTTCTTCGGCCACACTCCCCATGGCCCTACCATTAACTGTATAAGTCTAAAGTACAGCACCTTACATCTATCTGAATTAAATTCCATCTACCACTCCTTGACTCATCTGATCAAGGATCTCATTGTACTCTGAAGTAACCTTCTTCATTGCCCACTACACCACTTATTTTGGTGTCTTCTGCAAACTCACTAACCATACCTCCCATATTCAGGTCCAAATCGTTTCTATGAGTGACAAACAACAGTGGACCCAGCACCGATCCTTGCAGCACACCACTGGTCACAGGCTTCCAGTCTGAAAAACAACCCTCTACCACACCCTCAGTCTCCTACCTTCAAGTCTATTTTGCATCCAATTGGCTAGCCCCTGGATATTTCTGGAGGAGGAGGTAAATCTCATTAAAGTGCTCCCACTTCAGTCTCTCCGTACAGAGTTAGGGAAACATTCTTGTCGGCCTATTGGCTCCTGACTGGGTTTGTGTTTCACATGGGAATCCTATTTCAGCCAATTCCATCAACATCTCCTGGTAATTCGTTCTCCCTCGTGTGTTTATCCAGTTCCCGTTCGGATTCACATTGACCACTCCCTGTGGTAATCAGGCCCACATTCTCTACCCCCTGTGACTGAGGCCTTTCTCCTCAATGTCCCAGGGAGCTTCTTGGTGACTCTGATATTGACAGTTCCAAGGGCTGACAAGTGCGAACATCTTCTCCACATCTGGCCTCTCGAAAATCAAACCTTTTCACAATTTTAAAGTCTACTGTCAAGAATTACAGTACAGAAGAGGCCTTTCGGCCCATTCAGTCTGTACTGCCACCTACAAAGCCTACATTACTCCCACTTTCCTACATTAGGCCCAGAGCCTCCTGTTTTTTTTATATTCAGAGAGAGGAAGGTGCCAGTCTGATCAATCTGTGCTGCAGACGAGACCGAACCTCCCAGCTCCGGCTCCAATCTGGGAAATCTGACATCGGCCCCCCCCCCCCCCCCCCCTCCCCCCAGGGTCCTCACCGTCCTGTTGCTGAGCTGAGGGCTGTACTGCACACGGAGTGTGTGTATTATCCACAGCACTGACTCTGTCTTTCAGATACTCTGCTGGTGACCCTCCCCTACTCACTATCCCCCCTTTCCCTACACCCTCCCTCCCTCCCCTCCTCACTCCCTCCCCTACTCGCTCCCTCCGTCCCCCCTCACTCCCTCACTCACTCTCTCCCCCACGCCCTCACTCCCCCCTGACCCCCCTCCCCTGCTCACTCCCTCCCCGACTTGCTCCCTCACTCCCCTACTCCCTCCCTACCCCCCTCACTTCCTCGGCCTGCAGCCTTAACCTTTCTAAATCCACTAATACTCTCAGATCCGCATCAATGGAAGATGTTCCCGTTATGAGAGTCGGCATTTACAAACTGCCACACCTTCTCGGTCTGTCCAGCCCGCTCAGGATTCTGAAAATCTCTATCAGATCTCCTCTGAGCAGCCTTCTCTCCAACTTCCCAACTTCTTCGATCCATACTCCTCACCGAAGTGTCTCATTTCCTGGGGCCATTCTTGTAAATCGCTTCTGCACTGTCTCTCGTGTATCCTCATCCTTCCTATAATGTGCCACCCACAACTGTGTACAAATCTCCAGCTGAGGTCTAACAAGGGTCTTGTACAAGTCCAGCATCACCTCGCTGCTCTCGGACCCTACTCTCTCGTTAGGAGAAATGCAGTGTACATTACCTCATTGTGTGGGAGTCCAGCTGCTGAGAAAATTGGGATTTTCTGACCTCGGGCGATGCTGTTCATCACATCAATGGGTGAAATTCCGGTCTGTATCATTTCCTCAGGGTAAATCCGACACTGCGGGTTTATCGGCTGTCCTGGGAGTCACAAAACAACAAAAATAAACCCAGGGAGGAGCGAGCCATGAAGAGTGCAATGTCAATCTGGAATTATTCCCTTCTGATCGCTGTGACTCCCGACCCACAGTAATGGTGTTCACTCTGAAAGCCTCTCAGTTCAGGGGCATTTAGGGACAGGGAAGCAAAGGCTTGCCCAGCCAGCAATGCCCATGAAGGAATTTGTGAAACAAACAGAGAAATTACTGGAGAAACTCAACAGGTCTGGCAGCATCTGTGGAGAGCAAGCGGAGTTAATGTTTCGGGTCCAGTGTGACTCATCTTTGGAATGGTTTAAAGACTGGATTCCATTTTGTTCTCCCCTCTTGTAGGGTACGAATGTGGAATCGATCTAAAAGGACAGATGTGTTCTTTTTTGATTGGAGTCTGAGAGATCCTAAAGCCTGCTCCTGTTCCCATTTCATGGAACCCCTACAGTGTGAAAGCAGGTCATTTGGTCCATTGAATCCATACTGACCCTCTGAAGAACATCCCCTGGAGACCCTCCCCTGCCAACTCTATCCCCTTAACCCTGCATTTCCCATGGCTAACCAACCTATCTTGCACATCCCTGAACACTATGGGGTAATTTAGCATGGCCAGTTGATCCTAACCTGCACATCTTTGGACTGTGGGAGGAAACCAGAGCACCCAGAGGAAACCCACACAGGGAGAATGTGCAAACTCCACACAGACAGTTGCCTGAGGTTGGAATTGAACTCAGGTCCCTGGCGCTGTGAGGTAGCAGTGCTAACCGCTGAGCCACCGTGTCTGCCCCATTTCTCACTCTCCTTAGTTGCCCTTCCTTTGCTTAAATGCAGAATGTGCTTGGGTTTCTCACCATCGTTCACCCTCTCTCTCCAGCTGCTCTGCTACTTGTTTCTGAGTCCTCTCCAGTACCCACCAGAAGACTAGCACCCAGACACTCTGCCAACTTTGGTCAGTGCCCACCATTCAAGGTAGAACAGCATAGCTTCAATTCCCACACTGGCTGAGCTTATTACCATGGACATGCCAACTTCCTGATCTCTCCCCTCGCCACATCGTCAGGTTAAACCACCTCCACTCGTCTCTGGTCTGGACCTGAAACACTAACTCTGGTTTGTCTCCACAGAGGCTGCCAGACCCACTAGGTTTCTGTAGCAATTCCTGTTTTTGTTTCCAATCCTCTCTCCCTCTCTCTCTAATGAGAGAGCATCCCCCCGCTATGACTAGGTGTCCTTTTGAAGCTCACAGTGATATAGAGTGTAGAAAGAGAGACTCACCATTTATATCGAGGAAATCCTCTGCCACTACAGCAGGCCCCTTATCGATTGGCTTCCCTGATCCATTGAACACTCGACCTGGGGATATCAACAAGGACAAGGCTCTCAAAGAGATGAAGAGCCATGACATTTCATCATGTGGGTACCAGGAGTCGTAGAACATAGAACAGTACAGCACAGGAACAAGCCCTTCGGCCCACCATGTCTGTGCTGACCGTGATGCCATTCTAAATGAATCCCACCTGCCTGCACATGGTCTGTATTCCTCTATTCCCTCCCTGTTCATGCGTCTGTCTAAATGCCTCTAAAACCTCGCTCTCATGTCTGCTTCTACCATCTCCTCTGGCAGCGTGTTCCAGGCACCTACCACCCTCTGTGTAAAAAAACTTGTCTCACACATCTCCTTTAAACTCCCCCCCCGCTGCCACCATGCCTCATCTTAACCCTATGCCCCCGGTATTTGACATTTCCACCCTGGGGAAAAAAAAAGTCTCCGACTATCCGCCCTATCCATGTGTCTCATAATTTTATAGACTTCTATCAGGTTGCCCCTCAGCCTCTGACGCTCTAGCGAAAACAATCCAAGTTTTCCCAAACTCTCCTTAAGGCTAACACACTCCAATTGAGACAACATCCTGGTAAACCTCTTTGTGCCCTCGGCACAGCACAAGCAATTTAGTAAAGTCCATGTGGATAATATCCGCTGCCCCACCCTCAAAATGTTGACCCATGCACAGTGTTGATTTTGATTTATATTTCTATATTTTGCCTGTTTAGAGAGAAGGGGAGGCATTGGGTGCCTGGGGGCCATGGCCAGTTCTGTGGGAGGAGCATAAGTGCCACCATCTTGTCGCCAACACCTCACACTCTCTCTGTCTCTGTGAGTGCACCCACCAAAGGTTCATTGTCTTCCACTGACACTGTCTCCTCCCTCACCCACTCCAACCCCCAACATCACTCACTGTGCGTGCCCTCTGTGCTTCCTGCTCACTCACTCCGACCCACCATGTCAATCCAATTCACAAACACCAAACTACATTAATCCCATTTACCTGCACTTGGTCCATAGCTTACTATGCCCTGGCATTTTAAGTGCTCGTCCAGATGCTTCTTAAATGTTGCAAGAGTACCTGCCTCTACCACCTTCTCAGGCAGCACCTTCCATATTTCTACCAGCCTCTGGGCCAAAACAATTCTTTCTCTGATCTTCTCCAAACCACTTACTCCTCAACTTAAACCTATGCCCTCTGGTCGTGGGCACATCTGCTAATAAGGGGAAAAGATTCTCACCATCGACTCTATGTCTGTCATAATTTTGTACCCCTCAGCCTCCTCTGCTCCAGGGAAAACAAACCCAGGCTATCCAATTTTCTCTTCATAACTGATACTTTTCATCCCAGGCAACATCCTGGTGAATGTTAAGAAGCTCTTCTACGCACTAAGGGTGATGGAGCTCTCTCCCACAAATGGCGGAGGATTCAGGATCAGTTATTAATTTTACATCTGAGGTAGATCTGTTTTTATTCAGTAAAGATATTAAGGGATATGGGCTAAAGGCAGGTATATGGAGTTAGGCCACAGATCAGCCGCGATCTCACTGAGTGGTGGAACAGGTTCAAGGGGCTGAGTGGCCTACTCCTGTTCCTCTATCCCATTGCAGAGATGGGATTTGAGGAATATATAGAGATGTATCTGTAACGTAGCAGTGTGCAGAGGGAGGTGGGGCAGGCTCTGTACAAGGTTGGAGCTAAGGCAGAGACGGAAGGACCTCATGCATATCAGGCTGATTGTGGGAACAACTTAAGGCCTAACCAGAGATTAGCTGTTCAGGCAAGCACACGCTCAAACAATCCTCTCACCGAGCATATCCTCTGACACTGGCGCACGGAGGATGTCTCCAACGAACTCACAGGCTGTCAACTTGGCATCAATGCCTGATGTTCCTTCAAATACCTGCAGAACAAAATATAAAGTAAAATAGAAAATATATAGTCACACTGACTCCAAGCAAAGTGTACAGAGCAAATCAGTCAACTGCAGGAGCCTGGTAAAGAGAGAGAGAGAGAGAGAAGACAAAATCTCAGGCTGTCACCCACTTTCCCACCCAATAACAACTTGCATTTATATAGCCACCTTTGAAGCATTCACATGTCCTGAGGTCCTTCACAGGAAATTAGCAGAGTTAGGCACTGAGCAAGGTGAAGGGCATTGAGCACAAGTGATCAAAAGTTTAGGCCAAAGGGTAATGTTTTAAAGCAAGTGGGGAGCCAGACGGAGAGACAGAGATAGGGAAAGGTAGAGAATTTTAATGAGGAAATTCCAGAGGTTAGAGCCCCAGGCAGTTGAAGGAATGGTCTCCGATGGTGGAGCTTTTAAACTGGGGTTGCTGTAGAGATCAGGATCAGAGCAATGCCGAGACCTTGGAAGGATGTTGGGAAGGAGGAGATCGGGGAGATTGGGAAGGATTTGAAGTTGGAGATTTCCCAATGCCAGTGCAGGGGGACAGGTAACGTGAGGCAAGAGACAGGTGATAGATGGACTGATATTTCTGGATGATACAGGACGAGACTGCAGCCAGGAGTGTGTTGGAATCAAGATTGCAAGGTAACAAAGGCATGGGCGAATGTTGGAGCAGAAGCTGAGCTGAGGCAAGCCCAGAGAAAGACAAAGTTAACAAGGTGGGAGGTGATTTGGGATGGCATAGTGGCTCAGTGGCTAGCACTGCTGCCTCACAACGCCAGGGACCCAGGTTCGATTCTGGCTTTGGGTAACTGTCTGTGTGTAGTTTATACATTCTCCCTGTGTCTGTGTGGGCTTTCCTCCCACAATCCAAAGATAGGTGGATTGGCTATGCTAAATTACCTGTAGTGTACAGGTTAGGTAGATGGGTCATGGGAAATGCAGAGTTACAGGTGGGTTGGTGTGGGTGTGATGGGCTGAACAGCCTACTTCCACACTGTAGGGATTCTTGTAACAATTTTATTCTACAATAATTGCTTTGGTGATGGACAGGGTATGGGGTTAGAGACTCAACTCTGTATCGGTCAAGAGCCTGAGTTTGCAAACAGTTTGGTTGAGTTGACACAGCAGCTGGTCTCTGCTGTTTGTTCAAGGCCCTGTCCCAGTGGGTTAGGACCTGGCACTGCATCAATGACTGGATTTACCTGAACCACAGCCTTGGATCCAACGACCTCCAACACCTGCCCACTGCGCTCACTGCTATCCGGCAGGGTGAAGTTAACAATCTCCGCGTATTTCGGAAACTGCGAGAAAAGAACAGAATCCAAAGACTCCAAACACAAAACAAGATCCCATCAGACGGGGGGACGGGGTTGGTGGGGGATTTACACGATGCCTTCCAACAAAGGGCCAGTAACATCTGAATGTACAGGGACACGCTGTGCTGTCAGTGTCTGGTTGACAGAGGCACTGGAGGAGCTGGAGAGACAGCGATCAGCCGTTCCCTGTCCAGACCAGGGCTGCAGGGACCCTCTGTGAGCTGTTCACACAGACAACACTACCTGCACCTTTATCTGTCCCTGTGCTGGGAGTGTTTGATGGGGACAGTGTAGAGGGAGATTTACCCTGCATCTAACCCCGTGCTGTCCCTATCCTGGGAGTGTTTGATGGGGGGACAGTGTAGAGAGAGCTTTACCCTGCATCTAACCCTGTGCTGTCCCTGTCCTGGGAGTGTTTGATGGGGACATGGTAGAGAGAGCTTTACTCTGTATCTAACCCTGTGCTGTCTCTGTCCTGGGGAGTGTTTGATGGGGGCACTGTAGAGGGAGCTTTACTCTGTATCTAACCCCATGCTGTCCCTGTGCTGGGGAGTGTTTGATGGGGACAGTGCAGAGGGAGCTTTACTCTGTATCTAACCCCATGCTGTCCCTGTCCTGGAAATGTTTAATGGGGACAGTGCAGAGGGAGCTTTACTCTGTATCTAACGCCATGCTGTCCCTGTCCTGGGAGTGTTCGATAGGGACAGTGTAGAGGGAGCTTTACTCTGTATCTAACCCTGCACTGTCCCTGTCCTGGGGAGTGTTTGATGGGGACATTGTAGAGAGAGCTTTACTCTGTATCGAACCCCGTGCTGTCCCTGTCCTGGGGAGTGTTTGATGGGGACATTGTAGAGAGAGCTTTACTCTGTATCTAACCCCGTGCTGTCCCTGTTCCTGGGAGTGTTTGATGGGGACAGTGTAGAGGGAGCTTTACTCTGTATCTAACCCCGTGCTGTCCCTGTCCTGGGGAGCGTTTGATGGGGACAGTGTAGAGGAAGCTTTACTCTGTATCTAACCCCGTGCTGTCCCTGTCCTGGGGAGTGTTTGATGGGGACAGTGTAGAGGCAGCTTTACTCTGTATCTAACCCTGTGCTGTCCCTGTTCCTGGGGAGTGTGATGTGTATTTGCAGTAGAACAGAAGGCCATTCCTTCACGCACAGAGTGACTGTCAGCTGCTGTACCTGCATTTGCGAGGTCCTCACCGCGGATTTGCCACCTCCCAGTCGGTTGGGCATGCTGATCAACTGAGAGTGACATTTCTCACACTGGGGTCAGGAATGACCTCTCTGAGCCTGCCTCATGCATCATTACCCCTGACGCCTCTCGATAAGGAAGTGATGTTGTTGATGGTCCCTTAATGAACGAGTTGCCCAGTGAAGGGGAACAATAGAAGCTCAGCTCCCTGGCTCACATGTTCAAACCAACAGCTCGAGGACTGACAGGGTAAAGAAAACACTGTTTGCGCTGTAATCATCAGGCCCCACACCCAGCACACACCGTTACTCTATGACTTAGCCCGTACCTTCACATTATCCAGTACCACCAGTGGCCCGTTCACAGCTGAGATGGTTCTGTAAGCTGCAGAGAGGGAAACAGGACGAGTTTATGTTCAGTCGGAGGGTGTGAAAGAGCCGTTTCGGAAGGTTAGCCACGCATTGCCAGTTTAACATCCATTCACTGTGACATGCACAGCCACCATATCTGTAAAGGTCCTGACCTGCCCAGCAAGGCGTTTCAGAACAGGGCCTCTCGTACACACACATCTGGGGAGGCACCCCATCGCGATCCAGCCTCGCTAACAACTCCGATCTTGAAATTCCCAAACAGCACAGCGGAGCGATGGGATCCTGCCTGGCTAGCTCATGCTGCAGGAGCGACCATGAACACAGAGTGGGGCTAAATTAAATTTTTCCTCATTGTACCACCAAACCAACTGGACCAGTGCCAGCACAGCTATGAGGAGCATCATTCCCGGCTCATGGATGGAGGTGATGGCCTAGTGGTACTATTGCTGAGCTGTTAACCCAGAGACCCAGATAATGTTCTGGGGACCTGGGTTCGAATCCTGCTGCGGCAGATGGTGGAATTTGAATTCAATAAAATATCTGGAACTAAGAGTCTAATGATGACTGTGAATCCATTGTCGGTTGTTGGGAAAAACCCATCTGGTTCACTAATGTCCTTCAGGGAAGGAAACTGCCATCCTTACCTCGTCAAGCCTACATGTGACTCCAGGCCCACAGCAATGTGGTTGACTCTGAACTGTCCTCTGGGCAATTAGGGATGGGCAATAAATGTTGCCCTAGCCAGCGACGCCCTCGTCCCATTAATGAATAAAGACCTCCTCTCCGAGTTAGCTCGTGGTGTGTTTAAAAGCTCACTCTAAACGTCACTCTCTCCTGCGGTATTCAGGGGAGTGCAGCACTACCTAGAGGAGCTGTGACATTAAACTGAAGCTTCCAACCACCCTCTCAGGTGGGGATATAAAACATCTCACGGTGCGCAGAGTTCACTCCCCAGTATCCTGCCCAAATACTTATCCCTCAGCCCAATGTCACGAGTAAAGATTATCTAACCATGACCACATTGCAGTTGTGGGATCCTGCTGTGTGTGCAAACCAGCTGCTGCACTCTTGATAGGAACGGAGTTGAGGATTATCAGAACGGCCACGATCTTATTGAATGGCGGAGCAGCCTCGATGGGCTGAATGGCTTACTTCTGCACCTGGAGTGTGATGGAACATTGCCGTCTGATTAAATGAGTGCAATGATATCAGCACTCTAAAGAACCCTGCTAGACTGGCAGCACATCCATCTCTTTCAACATTCACTCCCTCCACTGTTCGTGCACCTTAAGATTAAAGCATTTATACTGTATATGCTATTGTTTACATCTTGTTGCTGGGTACAATGCTGTATATTACATAATAACTCATGAAATGTTAACAGTTACAAGACGGAATTGGAGCAGTGAAATTGCCCACTGATGCTGCTGGTTCTGTATTGATATTTGTGTTCCAGTTGTTCTCTTCCTGGTATTGTTTCTCCCAATCATGAGCACAGCTTTCCAAGCTGACATACATTCAGGAAGCAACATTGAGAGGGTAGGTTCAGGGGGCAATGGTGAACAAAAGCCCAAAGGCAGTGATGTGCGCGCTTGTGAATACATGATTGGGGTGGGGATGGGGGGGCGGTGTGCGGGGTTACAGCGGTGTGTGGGGACTGCCTGGTTTGGCAGAAAGGGGTTATGTTGAGCCACCTGTTCCTGGCTAAATCAGTCACTGACAAGGCTCACATTCCTTCTGTAATCTCAGTGTGACTTGTTCACTGTTCACCCCACACTTCACATGGACTGAACAGATGTGTAGTTGTGTGAGTGTGTACGTGCATTCATGTGAGTTAGTGTGTGTCTGTGTGTAAATGTGTGTATGTGAGTGTGTATGTGTGACTATGTGTGAATGTGTGT